GGAGAAAAATCAAGAGGCTTATCTCCTTTTTTTTCTGTTTTCTCCTCTCTTTTTTTTCTTTTTTCTTTTGTTTGCTGCCACCTCCTTCCCCCTTTAAAAGAGAGGAAACTAAGGTTTTCTTTTTATTGTTAAATTTGGGTTTTGATGGGCTAGTTTATGAAATTGGATTGAAACTTGAATTAAATTGTTAGTGGGCTAAATATTGGGGTTTGGGCTGGATTTGTGAATTTATCTTAGTAAATTTCATCCTCAACTCTTTAATTTTTTCAATTGAGTCATTTTCTTGTTTTTTTTCTTGAACTTCTTCACACAATTTTCCACAAAATTTTTTTATAACGATAAATCCAAATCAATACGCGAAAAATTTTGATAACCGATATGTACTGTTTCAATGACAAAATCGGTATGCATGTCGATACGATATTAACAACTTTGGTTTTGAATCATGAACACTCAATATATTTGGCATCTTTTATTAACTTTTAGTGACGGATGATTGACGCAGCACTATTCATGATGTTCATTTTTGTCAAATTTACAATAGTTCGAAAGCCAATTTGATAATAAGTGAACTCAAAGGACTGTTTGGTTTCAAAAAAGTTTTCGGAATGTCTTGCCAAGAAGTAATTGAACGGTGTTTTTTTTTTTTTTTATTTGCTTAGTGGCTCTCATGAATTCTGTCTCCACTCTACTAATCATATATATTTGCACGCTACATCCAACAATTTCCTTTTCCTTATAATTGTAGGTTATAAAATATAGAAAGATATTTTTCAAGTTGACCAACAAGAAAGAATATTTTTAAAAATTATTTAAATATTTTTAATAGATTATTTATGTGTGTGAATTAATTTATAATATATATTTAACTATCTTGACAAATATTCTTGTATTTTTGTATAAATCAACCTATAAATCTACAACCCCTTATAAAACATGAGATATACTTCTTCTTCTTTTTTTCAAGACTTTTCATTGTTGGTTCCATTATTCATCATGATTTAATGCAGATTTACCTTTTAACCACATGCACATTAAGACAGATATCTTTTAATTTCAGTTTTAAATTTAAAAAAAAAAAAAAAAAAAAAACCAAAATAATACCAAACCACAAGCGGGAGACAAAGAAAAACAAAGTAGTTTTAGTAGGTGTAGATTCATGAAAAACTCACGGTGAAAAACGTTAGCTAGCGGTCGTATGAAATGAAAAGAAGTCAGACAATTCAATGCATTCAGTCCTTTTCTATTTAACAAGTGTTATATATATTAATATATATATATAAGAAGTTGAATCAACATTTTTTATGTACTATTATTTTGTCTTTATTTATTAATGCATGGATGTAAGCTACTCCTAACACCATTGCCCATTTTCAACAAAAACTACTCCTAGCACTTGTAATAAGGACAAAAAAAATGTGAAAGATCTAGCTTTTATTAATAATATTAATAATTAATAGAATAAAATAAAAGGAAGAAAAGAATAAGGAGAAAAAAGAGCTAAAATCTTCTCTTAACAAATTATATCATTTTGTATAACGCTCTTTCATGAATCATCCCCCCATTCTTCTAAGTCGTTAAGTCTTGTGATTTCGTTATGCACATGTAACGGTTTATGGGATAGAATGCAAAATCTTTTATACTCGAGTTAGGCCTCTCATTTCATTCATGCCATGGAAGATAATGGTCTCTTTAGTATTCTTAATGCTCAAGTTAGGAAGAGTTCTGCACATGAAGAGATAACAAAGGTTGCCAAACTTGAGCTTGAGTGGTAAAAAGCAGCCAAAGATGATAAAAGTTGCTGTGGAGTTAGAGCAGATTCATCTTTTGCAAAACAATTCAAATGGTCAACAGAATCATGAAAGAGGTTACGTATGTCAAAGGTGAAGTAACCAATCTCTGGGATGGTACCTTGACATCAATAGGTTCAGATTTGGATTCTAAAGCTTCTTTGTGCATAGACATGCAGCCATTAATTTCCAGTAGTAAATCACGACGATTTAACTAATTTATCGTAGAATGTGTTTATTCCATATTGAGAAACATAATAAGCTATTTCTTTCTTTAGTGTTTGAAAATTTATAGTACATCTAATTTTTATTTTTATTGCTTGGTAGTTTAAAGTTCAAATAAAGTTTATGCATTGCTCAGTTACAATAATTTGATATCATGATAACAGCTAAAGTATTATTGAATCATTTCCTTTCTAGTTTTAAATTCTTTATGTCTTACAAAAATTTGCCGAGATTAAATTAAGTCAACTTCTAGATTTGGTGCTATGTACATATTAACATGTGTATGCATGAATTATTTTATCGAATTCCTCAAAATGCTATCACAGTATCATTTCCTAATTCCAGTTTAACTATCATGAAACGATCACCACCCAGACAAATTTATCTTAGCAGCATATTCACAGTCAGTAAAGCATTGAGCATATTTCCTGTCATTTGTGTCAATTATGAAATGTAAAATGTAAAATGTTTAAGGTTATTTGAGTCAATTACCTGGTTCAAAAAGGTTGCTAAGAACTCGAAAGTGAAAAGCTTCAATTTCATGCTTTTGCTCTTTTTTTTTTTTTTTTTTTTTTTTT